GAGAATGTGAAGGTTCAGTGGTTAGGTTGAGGTGGGATAGGCTTCCCTGAAGAGATGAGTCTTTAGGGAACGCCTAAAGGCAGTCAAGGTGGGAGATAGACGGACAGGTTGGGGTAAGGAGTTCCAGAGGATGGGAGAGACTCTAGAGAAGTCCTGGAGGCGAGTATGGGAGGAGTGGACAAGGGAGCTGGAAAGCAGGAGGTCAATGGATGAGCGGAGGGGACGTTTAGGGTGATACTTTGAGAAAAGTTTGGGGGGGAGGAACCTGACTGGCCTGCATAGAGTCCTGACCTCAACCCGATAGAACACCTTTGGGATGAATTAGAGCGGAGACTGCGAGCCCGGCCTTCTTGTCCAACATCAGTACCTGACCTCACAAATGCATTTCTGGAAGAATGGTCAAATATTCCCATAGACACACTCCTAAATCTTGTGGACGCCTTCCCAGAAGAGTTGATGCTGTTATAGCGGGAAAGGGTGAGCCAACTCAATATTGAACCCTATAGACTAAGACTGGGATGCCATTAAATTTCATGTGTGTAAAGGCAGGCGTCCCAATACTTTTGGTAATATAGTGTACTCACAAGTATGTTGCAGACAGACTTCTCTCTGAGGCAATACTGCAACAGTTTCATATATGCCTTACTGACAGGTATATGAATCTGTCACAAGTTGTGCCATTTGTTGCCCGGACAGAAGACAGGTTTCTAATGAGTGTCTACTACACTATGAATTCCAGGGATTCTACTCAAAGAGCAGCAAATTTATCAAAACTGGAGCAGACAAAATCTGTTGTAGCTGTGGATGGCAACCGATCAGCTTCTATCTTTTATTTTGAAATCTTATCTGAACAAACTGAAGAGAGAAGCTGATTGGTTGCCATGGGCAAATGCTCCAGATTCTGTCTGCTCCAGTTTTGATAAATTCCCCCCAATAATGTGTCTCTTATGCTATGTATTCGACCCACACATATACTACGATTTCAAATCTCTTCCTCCACACACTTCTTATATTTCTTAGCCTTCATATCACCCGCCCCTCCGGCGTCTTCACTACAGGACTCTGAGACGACCAGGGAGCGCGCACTACACCGGCCAGGCGCGCTCAATGGTTGGTTTGTGTGAGGCCGGTCATGTGATCGTGACGTCATCAGAGGTCCTAGAGCGCAGTTGTTGTGAAGTGACAATGGCGACCGATGGAGACTTTCTGCTGCGATACAGAGCCGTGTCCAACAAGCTAAAGAAGTGCGTTTACTTTCACTGTATATGCAACAGACTATGACTTATTAACCATTGCCGCGTGTGTAATCACAGTGCCAGCTATCCGTCTAGTCTTCCGAGGATGGTTCCTGCTCCCCTCTTTGTATCATCACTGTAATGTCCGGTGTGTCAGGTATTGGGATAGTGTACCTGGACAATGCCAGCGGGAGACTCTTGTTACCATTGAGCCATATTATCAGCTGTACTCCTATTAAATCAAGAGAACCCAATTTGCTCTACTCCTCTCCTGACATACACTGATGGGAATGTGTGTGGTTGTGTTTGCTGGATGCCTCCCATCTTCTAGATCAGTCTCTGTCGGGGTGCCATCAAATGTTTGCACAGCATCATGCGTTTCCATGGTGCAGGCGGCCAGTCACCCCCTTAATATCCATACTAACCCCCCACATGTTTTTTTTCCATTTTAGAACAGGATGCCTTAAGATTTTGCATACTTTTCCAGTGCCCGGACATGAAAAAGTTTGAAACGCATTAAACGCTGTTCTAGATTGTCATTCTGAATTTGGAAACCTATTTGACTGCAACTGTAACCGAAATCCTTATTTTATTTTTCCACCTGTATAAATGTGATATTCATTCCGATTTTTCCATCTCTAATTGTAGGAGATTTCTCCGTAAGCCGAATGTTTCTGAAGCCAGCGAGCAGTTTGGTGAGCATGTCCTGTTTTTGCATGATTAGTAATAAATCGTACCGATAAAACAACGTATTAGGGATGATTGCAATTCTCTCTATACCTAATTAAACAATGGGGGTGATTCAGTATAGCATTTGTGACACTTTTCTGGCATAATGCTGTCTAAGAATGTCCTGAGAAAGCAGTGTGACAGGTCTAATGCTATTATTGACACACTTGACAAATTCAAGGAGTTCTTAATTGTGAGCCAGGTCCTGCTTCCTGACCGCTTGCACAGTGCGCCAAGGCACTCGTCTAATGGCATATATAGGTGAGTTGAGGAGGTTTTAAAAATGACCTACATATGGCTGCCCAAACCGTATTGCAGTAATCCTTGAAGTGTAAGACAAAACTTTTTTTTCCCCCCTAGAGTGGAGAAGAATTAGAGCCTCACCCACGTTTTTATTGTGGCCTGTGTCTCTGCTAGGGATTCAACCCTCTTTTTGTCCTGGGTCTATTGCAGGGGTGTGGACATTTAAAAAAAAAAACTACTTGTCCAAGGACTAAAGTGGGGGCCCGATCTTGTCCCTCATGGAAATCTACTTGTCCTGATGCAAAAAAATAAAAAAAATGTAACCAAAACCGTATTTAGCAGTGCCAAGAAGAGCTTCTCATTGGTCAGTGCCGTCAGGTGACTGCGCTGACAAACGAGTGCTTAAATCTTGCGAGCGAAATTCAGAATACATGGCACAGGTACAGATAGTACACCCATACTGGCGGATGGGAAGGACCGTTCCCTGAAAGATAAGTATAGCGGGGGGAGAGGGGACCAGATTTGTGCAGGTAATTCCATTTTCCCCAAATTACTTGGGAAAGTGAATTTACCCTTTGGGGTGGGTGCAGATTTGGGCGACCGTGTGCGATGCGCGGGCGTTATTGCGGCGGGAAACTGCGTTCTTTACTCTGTGCTATCTAACCTAATTTGCCGTAGTCACGGATCCCCCACAAGAGGGGGCGAAGACCACGGCAAAAAGGAAGCCCAGGTGCTGAGAGAGAGGCAGCCGGAAGCGGTACACGGCCGGCCGCCAGCTGGAGATAGAGAGGGGGAGTGAGATTCAGGCTCGTTACAAGGGGTTTTGGACGGCTGTACAGCCGTTTAAAATCACTTGTACGAAACGGCTCCCACACTACATTTAGCCGTGCTGCCTGCTCGCAGCTGGGCTAAATGTAGAAAGAAACTACTCGCCCGGCGCCCGAAACTGCCTGTACCGGACGTCGGGCGATAGGAATTCCACACCCCTGTACTGTCACTAAGACAGACATGGCTTCATTGGGGAAAAATGTTCTGGTGACCACTGTCTAAAATCAGAATTACTCTCATTTCAGGAGATTAGCTGTCACATACTGTTTTGTCTTCAGGACAGAAAGGGAAGGGGTGTCTCCCTAGCAGGACACAGACAGCAAAAAAATAGGAGTTCAAGCCTTTCCTTACTATAGCCAAAAGAAACGGTTTTGTCTCTACATACACTTTAAACCCTATACCACCAACAATGACACTAGAGCCTTGAAATATATGGCTGCTGTAGGAGGTTTGAGGCCGCTACACATATAACTGCTCTTGAGGAGAGACTATAAATATATACAGTCGCTTGCAAAAGTATTCACAAATGGCATTTCTCTTCCGTTCATTGAAGGACACAGGGCGCCGCCAGCGTGTGTGGGCCGATGTGACTGTCAGGCCAAGACCTCCAGTCATATGCACCCCACCGGTCCAAAAAGCCCACAGGCGTCGAGATATCACCGTCGCAGCGGAACCACCATAGCGGGACTGCATGCGCTTGTTGGTCGCACAGGGGAGACTTCAAGGATCTATAATCATCCAGCATGTCGCCCTGGCGACCCTTGCTTGAAGAAACAGCGAAGAAAAGGAGGAAAAGAAAACATTTCCGGAGATAATTTTTTTAGCTCCTTACTCCTGACGCTAGTCAAAAAACTGGAGACTTGTTAGCAGGTGGGGGGTTGGGCCACCAGCAGGGGCTGCCCTTGTCTTTTGTTGTGTGCCTAGCGTCCTTCTCCTGCAAGTGGCGATATACCCTAGAGTACAGGATCTACGATCTGTTGCCCTGTGTCCTTCGATTCTACGGTGAGTACAAAAATCCTATTTTTTCCTTTTTTGTTGCATTACCACCTGGAATTAAAATTGATTTGTTGTATCATTTTGATTTACACAACATGCCTACCACTTTAACCTCTTGCCGTCCGCCCGTAGTAGAAAAACGGACGGACGGCACTGCTGCATCTGCGGGTTGCCGTCTCCAGACGGTAATTTTTTTCTGCTCGCGCGCGCCCCCTATAAATATTTTTTATTTTGATGCAAACAAGAAATAAGACAAAAAAAACAAAACTTGGGCATAGATAACTACTCACCCCCCCTTTTCCAAATTCAAAGCAGGCAAAGCTGCTCCTGCTCCTTCAAGTTTGATGGGTTTCACTGGTGTACAGCAATCTTTAAGTCATGCCACTGATTCTGAATTAGATTGGGCTTTGTCTAGGCCATTCCAAGACATTTTACATTTTTCCCCTTAAACCACTCGAGTGTAGCTTTAGCTGTCTGCTTAGGGTCATTCTCCTGCTGGAAGGTAAACCTCCATCCCAGTCTCAAATTTCAGGCAGACTGAATCAGGTTTCCCTCAAGAATTTTCCTGTATTTAGCGCCATCCATCATTCCTTCAATTCTGACCAGTTTGTAGGTCCTTGCCGATGAAAAACATCTCCACGGAATGATGCTTCTACCACAATGCTTCACTGTGGGGATGGTGTTCTCGGGGTGATGAGAGGTCTTGGGTTTGCGCCAGACACTAAAAGCTCAATTTTAGTCTCATCTGACCAGAGTACCTTCTTCCTAAAGGTGCCCAAACACCTTGCCATAATCGTATGATAATCGTGGGAAATCCCGCGATCGTACGATTATCGCAAGGTGTGTGGAAGGCGTGCGACCGTTTCTACTGTACGGTCGCACAACTTTTGTCTTTAGAGCATGTTCGAAAACCAGCAGAGAATCGATTTTCGGCTGGTTTGTAGCATGATTTATGTTTGGGGAGTCTCTCACATTCCTTTTGGCCAACAGCAAACGTGTTTGCTTATTTCTTTCTGTAAGCAATGGCTTTTTTTCTGCCCACTCTTTCATGAAGGCCAGCTCTGTGGAGTGTACGGCTGAAAGACTCCAATCTCCGCTGTGGAGGTTGGCAGCTCCCTCAGGGTTATCGTTGGTCTCTATGTTGCCTCTTTGATTAATGCCCTCCTTGCCTGGTTCGTGAGCTTTGGTGGGCGGCCCTCTCTTGGCAGGTTTGTTGTGGTGCCATATTCTTTTCATTTGGATTTAATGGTGCTCCACGGGATGTTCAAAGCTTCGGATATTTTTTTATAACCCAACCCTGATCCATACTGCTGAACAACTTTGTCCCTGACCTGTTTGGGGAGCTTCTTGGTCTGCATGGTGCCGCTTGCATGGTGGTGCTTCTTGCTTAGTGGTGGTGTAGAATCTGGGGCCTTCAGGAACAGGTGTCTATATACTGAGATCATGTGACAGATTACACACAGGTGGTCTTTATTTAACTAATTATGTGACTTCTGAATGTAATGGAAGGTGGCACCAGATCTTATGTAGGGGCTTCATAGCAAAGGGGTGAATACATATGTACGCACCACTTTTCAATTTTTTAAAACAAGTTATTGTCTTGATTTCACTTCACCATTTTTGTCTATTTTGTGAATGCCCATTACATGTAATCCAAATAAAAATCCATTTTATTTCCAGGTGGCAATGCAACAAAATAGGAAAATTGCCAAGGGGTGAATACTTTTGCAAGCCACTGTACATATTATAGATATGATATCTGTATGCATGCTGTGGGGAAGTGTAGTGGTTAACAGAATTGCATATTTGGCTGATGTCATATGTGAGGGGATTATCATAATTATTTATATGGCTACTATAAGAGGGCTATGTATATGCCTGCTTTTGTGTATGTCTTATGGGAATAGGGATTGTTGTTGAAGAGAACTGCATATGTGTTTGCTCAGTGATTTTTCCAAGTCTGTAGTGTGTTTTCTGATGTTGGTCCTGTGGATTTTGGTAGGTAAACAATTTAATACATACATTTTTTAGCCTTCTATTCAGCTTTTCCCGGAATTGATGACTGATTTCTTGCATTTTTTTTGTCAGGTCAACTGGCAAAGGAGCTTAAACAGCAGGACTGTCTTCAGTATGCTGGATTCTGTAACTTAGCCATGGCCCGGTGAGTTTTGCTTCTACAACTACAAGTTGGCTTTGTTGTATCTCCTGTGCAAGTTTGTACATACATCTCTAGAGACGTACCTTTCCACAGTCTATTTGTTAGACAGTTCAGTGAGCATCTTTACTATCCGATTTTAGAAATTCAAATTAGACAATCTCACCTAAAGAGTCTATTGTCTTCAGTGAATGTAAGTTAAAGTGACACTAAACTCAGGAGTTAAAACGTAAAAATGCATTCAAGTACCTTAGCTATTAACAATATTGTAACTAATTTGTGTATCACTCGACTGTACATCCTGAAACCATCTCTGAATTCATGCTGACACTCCTTCCTTCTGGAAGGTGGCTACTTTTGTCCCCCATGGTCCCTGTGTGTGTTGTAAAGTAGCCAACGCTCCAAGCTCGCTACCGTGATGGACTACAATCTAAATACAAATTAGTAAACTAAATGTGAGGTTGTATTGCATCACAGGAGTGAGCTAAAATGAAATGCCATCCAGTTATTTGTCTCATCCTTACCACTTTCAATGGAGCGAAAAGACATCAAATGGATGTAGTTCCATTTATTTGGGATGAGTGGACCTGCATATTATGAGTTCTAGCTAAGAGGACTATAATATTAACTTAGATTTTTTTTTTTGTTCTTGAGGGTTGGCTAACAGAAAGTTTGTTACATATGCAGTATTTTTTTTACCTGTTGTCGATGACATATTGATTTGATTTAGGTGTGAACAGACGCTGTTTAATGCTCCGGGAGAAGCCATGGCTTTGACTGAAGCTGCCCGCCTGTTCCTGCAAGAGGAAACGGAGACTCAGCGTTTACAATGCCCTAGTTTTGAGGAGCATTTGCAGGCTGCTATCAACTGCTACAGTTTTGCTATCAAGGTAAACATTTCTAAGCTGGGGTGTATAAAGGAACATTGCATTAAATTCAAATGAATGTACTGTATGTCTTTTAAAGTGAGTTAAGAGTCCTTAACACTTTTTGAGTTTACCTTTTAGAGTTTTTCGTCTTTAGACCCTGTCACCAACTTAAAAATTGGCAGATAAAAATGCAGAATAATCAAGAGGTTACATTGATCGGAACGGATTTCACCATTGTGACATCTGTGTCCGTGCAGTTTTTTTCTCCATTTTGTGATGGAGGAAAAAAACTAACATTACCAGACTGTTCCTAGTGTATGAGCAGCCGGCTCTAAACAGACGGGTGTCCATTTACATCCGGTTACCCCCAATCGGGCGCAATCAGGTCCGGCGCAACGGATATCTGATCCATCCGTTTTTGTAGACCTAGCCGGTGCCAGGGGTAACCTCTAACATCAGGTTTCCAATCAGGTCCACCTAAAAAACTGACAGGTGGACCTGATCAGAAACCCCAAAAGCCCTTGTAAAAGGGGGACCAAACAGTGCTTCTCATTGGTTAGCATGGTCAGGTGACCCCACTAACCAGTGAGTGTTCGCCATTTGCAAGCCTTATTCTAGATGCCGAGTACCAGGGTACAGTGCCATGTATGGAAGCGTACACCAGCTGCAGCTGGGGAAATGGTGGTTCCCCCAACAAATTAAAGAAATGCATAATTAATGCATAATTAATAATGTATCAAAAAATGCATTTCTTTAATATTTGCATTCAAGCCTGGAAAGCATTGCAATTGTGATCACTCGATCACAGCTGCAAATCTCAGACTTCTGCATATTTTCAAACTGTCGGAGCCCGTACTGAGGTACGGAGTTTGTTAGGAGAGATGGGGGGTAAGGACGGCTAGACTTCAAACTGCATTAAATCACCTCCTACAGCGTCCAGCCATCCTCCCTCTAGGTAGATGCGGGAATATGTACCTAGAGCGAGGACGGCTGGACGCTGTATGAGGTGATTTAATGCATTTCTTAAATTTTTGCAAAAGGTGAACTTCTCCTTTTTTATTGAGAGAATATTAGTAGTAGTTGTACAAGGTCATAAAACATGTGATAATAATGAACCACTCTTACCCCCAAAAGTCATACAAGGACTTTAAAAAAAAATGTTCACGGTGACGTAGGGAGGCCTGGTCAAAGAGTTGTAAGAGCTGCGTGTATTGGGGAGTTCAAGGCCAATGGTATTGTCTCCACTTCCACAATGAGATTGGTCATGTTCATTAATCTTCGCAAATAAAGAGGATATTTTTTGAGCTCACCATTTCTTAAGTCGAGCTCCGTGGTTAATCAACACCCCTCGCACAACACATTTTAACGCTTCCCACTGTATAGGTGGAAAGGAAACAGCAGTTTCATAGTTACGTACAATATCAAGGATAGCATGCTGTATATCAGCACAGCACACAGTATCCAAAAGTAGATTGTCGTTCAGTCTCCAAAAAGAGGTTTGGGATGGAGGGTCTGATAAACTAAAGGTGCTGTAAATCGGAGAATGGTCCGACCAGATCTTAGTAGCAGAATCAGCTTCCAATAGGGCCCGAGAGACAAAAGCATAGTTTATTCTTCTGTGTGCTTTTTGTACTGGGGGAAAAAAAGGTAAAATCAAGGTCTGTCGGATGAAGAGTCTGCCATAGATCCATAAGGCACATAGAAGAAAGCTTTTGTTTAAGCCTATTGAGATCTGTAAATTAAATGGAGCTTTTATCAGATGCGGAATCCAACCTAGGATCCAGGGTAGGCATGTACCAATACCGTTTTTTTCGATATGGAGTTACCGATATATATATTTTTTTGGTACTCGCCGATACCGGTGCCGTGTGCCCTGATCATCATGATCCGTCGCCCAGCTTCCTGATAGCCTGTGAAGCCGGTGTTAACAAAAGAACACCGGCATTACTTGCTGAGGCTGCCTGGCCTCCTGACCAAGCAACAAGTGAAGCCGGCTTCCTATCCAATCAGGAAGCTGGGCGGCACGTCATGACTCGCCTCTCGGCTTCCTGATTGCCTCGGAAGCCGCCTTCACTTGTTCCTATGCAGCCTGCCTTCCTGACCAATCAGGAAGCTGGGAGGCGGGTCATTACGTGCCGCCTGGCTTCCTGATTGAAAAGGAAGCGGGCACCATGCTCCCTCGGCACTGCCAATCAGAGGGAGATCTCCCTCTGATGGGAAGTTTAGGTATCGGAGGTAATCATCGGAGCATTTGGGTGAGTACGAGTACTTGGCCAAATACTCTGTATCGGCACCGATAATAGTATCAGTATCGGTGCATCCCTAATCCAGGGTCAAGTTAGGATCACCACTTAAAACAATAGCTCCCTCAGCAAAGGACTCATGCCCATGAAAGATGGTGGAGGTGAGTATATTTATAGAAAAAGGCCAAAAAAGGAGTCGAGGTAAAGAGCCACAATAGAACACGTCCTAGTGCCATTTGCCCGCCATGCCCCCCGTCATTCAAATTATTAGCGATTACAAACCTTTGAGAAAGTCACCAAAGGGCTAATATGCGCCCTTGCATACAAGTTTTTCCCCCCTGCTTGTGTCACTGTGTAGCATGGGAAGGAAAGTAAAGCTCCCCTAAAATAAAACACATATATTCACTTTAAAGGAGAACTATGGGGTTAAGGCTTTTCCCCATAGTTCTCAGGGTAACTGGAGGACATAAACTAGTGTCTTCCCGTCACTCTAGGCTCAGTATACCGCGAGCTGTAGCTTGGAATTTATATAAATGGGATACTGTCCACAAATCTGCAAAATAGTTCACTCTTCAGTCACTGTCAGACATTTTCTTGCTGTAATCGATGAGCAAGAAAAGTGTGAAAAAGGTAGCAGGTCTGCCAGTAGAAGCTACACACAAACATACTTCTCTGTTCACCAGATTTCACAACATACTTTTGTGCTTATTTTTTCCAGGTATACATTGAACTGAATCAGCCTGTGATGGCAGCCAGTTTATGTTTAGAACTGGGGAATGCATTAAAGGTATTTCACTGTCAAACTTTCTCTGTTATTTGTATTTAATTATACTTCATTCATGTTGTTGGTTTTAGTACTTCTCCTTTATTCTGTAGCCTGCGGCCTTATCCTGCAGCCTGCATAAAAGTCAGTTGGAAAGGGCACTTGGGACCTTCAGCCTGGAAGCAGTGTGTTTAACTCCTGTCTTCTTGCAGCAGCTGCTCCTGGTCAACACTAGAGGGACCTAAAGAAAAGAAACGCTGCAGACTGCTTATTTATCCCAATACAAATTCTGACTCTTGTCTGCCCTTTAGCTCCCTCTAGTTAACTCAAAAACAGGTACCATTTGCCATTTACGGGTTGCACGATAAAGGATAAGTACTCAGTGTGCCCTTATGTCCAGTTTTGCAGCACACAACAGTGCACAGTTGTTGGGGAGCATTGCAAAAGATGCTATACTGGGTTATACTGCTTTCTTTAGGAGGAATTGTACATTTACAAAAAAAAAAAAAAAAGG